CCATCACTTGTTTTACCATTCTGGCTATGGCATCATCACTGAGGTTTGGACAGTGCCCAAGGATTTGGTCAGTTCATCTGCCTCCCTCTCCTCCCACCCCTCCCCATCACCTGGCTTCTCCAGCTTCTGAGGCAATTTACCCCAACAGAACCCACTTGGCAGCTCTTGCTCTAATGCTCAGCTAATAGTTGTCTGTTCCAGGCGCTGTCCAAATGCATACTATAAATCAGAATCCAATTACTGTGGTAAGAAAATTGGAAGCAAATTTAATAAGCCAGACCCCTCCCACATGCTATTTCTTCACTCTTCTCTTTTCAATAATGAGAATTCTTCAAGGGGGAACAAAAGGTTTTTTGCTTTAACTCTATGACTCTTCTCCCTGTCTCTCATACGAAGCTCCTGAGGGTCAACGGATAATGAGAAGGGGCTTCTTTTAGCTCCCCTTCTCCTCTCTGCATGGAAGACAGGTGGGAGAAAGTAGTTGCCGGTCTTTCTGGTCTGTCTTTCTCTTTTATTTATCCAACAAACAGATATTGGATCCCCATCACACAGCAGACACTGTAATAGATGTTCAATGTGTTCCTTATCCTACGGGCAATGGAGAACAAAACTAGCAGGACCTTTGCTGTAAGGCAGGATGGGGATACAAACTGACTTACTGGGAACAAAGTCTACATCAATGGGGCTCAGCTATGAATGAGCCAGGCTGCCAGTGTAGGTCCCTTGGCTATGGGGTAAGGAGTGACACTGCAATAGATACTTCTTAGGAGTAGTGATGCCAGTTGCCAGAAGGATGGTAGGATGAAGATGGTGGGTGAAGGTAGAGGGAAAGAGGAAACAAGAGGCCAGTCTCTACAAGACCAGAGCCAGAAGCCCTCACACTTGGACAAAGGGAGAGGTACACAATATATGGGTGCTGGGTGCACTTATCCCAGGGCTTCTACTCTGTCCTTAAACCCCAAGCCTTTTGACAGAACTAGCTCACATACAGTTCTCATCCAAACCACAGAAGCTAGCCTATGCTTCATAGTTTCTAAAAGGGCAGGCCTCAGAATCCCCTGAGGTCTTGCTAAGTCAGATAGCTGGGATTTACTCTAAGGTTTCTGGTTAAGGCCTAAGAACATGCATTTCCAACATGTTCCCATCTGATGCTGATGCTGTTGGCTCTTTGGTCTGGAGAACCAGACTTTGAAAGCCATTGTGAGTCCTTGCTATTCAAAGTGTGACTCACAGACCATAGTCATCACTGTCACCAGGAAACGTGTTAGAACGCAGAATCTCAGAATTGAAGAGAAGGCACGGTGGCTAAGAGCACTTAGAGAACCCAGGCTTGATTCTTAGGACCCACGTGGTGGCTCACTATTACCAATAGCTCGAGTTCTAAGGGATCTAAATCCCTATTTTGACCTCCTCCAACATGTTGGCATTCACTCTCTCATACACACAGACACACATAAATAAATTATAAGAAAAAACTTTTAAAAATGAAAAGCAATACCGACTGTCAGGCCCCACCCTTGATCCACTGAGTCGGATAGAGAGAATCCTCGGCTGACTTGTCTATTTGCCTGTTTAAGCTTGAAAAGCCCTTACCCAGAGTGGCTGCCCTCAAGTCTTGCTGCTCATTGGAGTCACTTGGGAGCTGAGGAAGGACACACTTGAGTTGATTGGAGTCTGGGTATCAACATATTTAAAAGGCTCCCCAAGAACTCATGAGAAGCCGGGACTGAGAGCTGCTTAGACTGATACTGAAGAGCCAACATGCCACACTGTGTTGTTGCTCACCCTCATTTCTCTGGCTGACCTTGGACCTCTCCTCTGTTCTTTCCTACCCCCACTGTCATACCTGTCAGTTTGACATCTTCCTTCTGGTACTTGGGCTGGTGCTTCATTCGTTTGTTTAGCCGTCTCTGGCTTTCTACCAGAGTGTTCCTCTTCCACAGGAGACTTAGCCATCATTGCATTAGATTTCTTTTTTAATATTCACTATAAAATAGGCCAATGCTGTCTCCATATTTTATTTGATCCTTACAACAACCGAAGTAGGTGGGATCATTGCTGCTATTTTTATCCCTACTCTTCAAAAGAGGAAACCAAGGTGTGGAGAAAGTTAGTGAGTCCATTCATCTAACCAGCAGAACAGCCAGGATGAGAAATGCCTGTCTGATCCCAAAGACCCATGTTCTGACCCTCTGGTGACCCTCTTACATTGCTTTCAACTTCACTCTGCTTTACATAGGAGGTCTGGCTTGACCTATTGCTGGTGATGAATATTTTCATTTCATCTCTGATAATTTGGATAAAAAGCAAGGCCAGGTTTACAGCAGGGATCCTCACTGAAATTTTGTCCTTCAGAAAAGACATATGGGAAAGATATTTTTGGTTATCACAACTTGGTGTGTTTTTGTGGGGGAGAAGTTGAGGTAGGGGAGGCCTATTGACATGTAGTAGGCAAGGGCCAGAGAAGCTTCTAGAATCCTCTAATATCCAGAACAACCCCTTAATGAGGAATCATAGAGCAAAAATTTCAGCAGTATTGTTGTTGAGAACTCCTGACCACCATTAGCTATTTTACTCATAGCTGAGGCAGGCAGGGTTGAGCCCCAAATTGAGCCTCAGGGTTCGATTGGTCTGGGTGGATAAGCTTCTGGGGCTGCATCAGGACTTACCGGGGAGACTGGAATCACAGCAGGATTAGGAAACTTGGCTGGTGACTCCAGCCATAGAATGTTGGCTTCTATCACCCCTTGGTTTTAGTTCCAAGGACTTTGCAGGCATGCTCTGGGATTCTCAAGATCATAAGAGTACCACCAGCAGGGGGCAGCACTCTACAGCCTGGGGCTCGATAAACCAAATCCAATCGGTACCTGCAAGAGTGCCAGTCTAGGACTTTGCACTCAGTGAATGCTCAAGGCTCCCAAGATGACATCTGGTCCAAGGCACCCACCCAATTCTGAGTCCCCTGATCTCCACTCTTAGGCTATTTTGGATAAAGTTCCCTGAATCCAGAATTCTCCAAGTGGCACACTTCCAACTCCTGCAGGGTAAGGTTGTTGCCCCGAGGCAGACATAAGGCTAATATTCTTTCCCCTTTTGTCGTCTCAAAGAGTGTCTGGATTCTGTCTCAATCCTCTCTGCCCTTCTTGCTATCTCCCTAGAGATCACCATTCTATAACAGACAGAGTCCTGGACAGGCACAGAGGCCAGAGATGGCTGGCCAGCCAGGCTCTTTGGGGGACAAGCTCAGCTTGTCATTGCCCTGCCACCACAAGTCTGGCCTTTGTACAAATGTTCATTTCTGTTCTGCAGATTAGAAGAAAGTGAGAATGCAGAACTCAACATGTTCAACAGCTTGGTGAGCTCCTGGTGCATCCTTCGATGGCTGAGAGCAGTTGTGTCCCCCTCCAAGGGCTCTCACCATCACACCAGCACCTCTCCTGCCTAGAATGGCTCCTGTTTCCTTCCTGGTCAGGGGGGCGGGCATAACATCTAGAATCAGGACAAGGAGACAACTACTTGCTGAAACCCAATAAGGCTTCTTAGCCTTCTCTCTTCTCCTTTTGTGCCTGCTCTCCCACACATATTTTCTGCTCAAGGAAATATACTAACTTGATACTTAAATGTTGCTCAGAGAGGAGTAATAGGATAAGGGCTGGGGAATTTAAATCACAATATTAAAAAGAATTTCAATGGGACTCTGACTTTAAGACAGTTTAGGCCAGTAGAGGGGAGGAGGAGCCTCTGACTATAGGAGACAAGGGCACTACTGCTTAGGTAGACTTTCATGTCACCATTTAAGAAGAGTTAAATCTACAGATGGTCAGAGTTAGAAGAAATCAGACTATCATCCACACTGTATGTTTGCCATATTCATGTGGACACCAAGACTCCGGTTACACAAGGTAATGACAGTAACTAACAAGGAGCAGCTGAATGTCTCCATGTCTTCACTTAGCACATGCTCAAGAATCACGAATATAATAAGTTTCAATCATTATAAACGTCCCTTTTCCCCACAACATGGGAACCCAAACAAGGCAAAGCTGAGAGTATAAAGTCAATGTTCTATACCTTAAGTCAATGCTATACCCTTCCAGTTGAACTGCCTTTGAGCCTTTACCACCCCAGTGGCCAGATTGCTGTTGGAGTGAGTACAAAGTCAGTGTCATGAACAAATAAAAGTCATCTCTGTGTGATTCTTTGGCATGTCTGGGCCAAATCATGGAGGCTGAGAGGGGAAAATAGAGTTAGGCCAAATTGCTTTCTTGACCTCAGTAGGAAGCACAGGGGCTACCAGGACTGAAGGGGCAGGTGCCCATGAGACCATGCAGCATCTATTTTTACAAAGCCTTTGTGTGGAAACTAAGCTTTCTACATTGGGTTAGGGCTGCTCTCTGTCACCTTCTAGAGCTGTGGCCTATCCAAGCCAGTGGCAGCAAGGAGGCTGTGGGAATGGGCCTCTAGGCAGGCAGATGGGAAACCAATGTCAAGTGAAGAGGCCCCTCAGATTTTCTTCTCATATGGCAAAATGCACATGGGCTGCTACAGAAAGGAATTCTCCTAGTGACAGGAGAGACAGTGATCTGGATTCCTGAGGGTATACCCATCATGTCCTTCCACTTAGAAAGCCAGGCTGGGCCATGGGACTGGACCAGGGAAAGCCAGGCACAGCCTTTTAATGCTCCACCAGCATTATAGAATATAGCACCAAGGATGCTCACCAAGTGAGGGACAGGTGCACCCTCTATGTGGGCCTCTCACTCTCCTCAGCCTCCAAGTAGAAAGCAGGGTCTATGGTGTGGTTTGTGACAATGAGGAGTGAGTGGCACAGATATATTGCTCCATCATGTCACTTTAGTGTCTGCAGGCAGAAACTGATTCACCTATCCCAGCTCCTGACGCTGGGTACTAAGTATCATGGGCCCCAAAATCAAGACTGTGCTGCTATGTCCTGGCCACAGAGAAGGGTAAGGTACCTACATGGGAAGAGGAGGAAGTACCTCTTATGGCGTGTGTCTGGGACAGCCCGATTGCTGGAGATCCGTTCACTCTCCCGCTGGTTGAAAGCGTACAGCTTGTAGGGATCATCGCCAACACGCCACTTTTTGGCATTCAAATACCGCCGCTCATCAAACTGCTCCCACAGGTCATCCCAATCTGCATCAGAAGGCTGTGTGACATGAATGGAAAGTCTGTGAGAAGGCTCCCTGCTCACCATTAGCTCCCATCCATCTGTCAGCAACCAATCAGAGAGTAGGCTTGTTCTAGCAATGCTGAGATCAGACATGGGGCCAGGGACAGAATATCAGCAAAAACACCAGCAATGACAAACCACCTACAGAACAGTGGTAATATTGCTCCTGCCGCTTCCGGAGTACCACATACCAGTTACTGTCCTAGGACCGTAGCTCTCATGATCTCATATAAACCTCACACATTTGCTCAGATTTCCAACTTAACAGGTGAGAATTCAGCCACACATAAGCACTTTGCCCAAGATCCACACTTAGGATGTGGCAGGACCTGGGCCTGCATTCTGGTACCCTGACCCAAGAGACCATTATCCTAGGATGACATTAGAATATCCTATGCCGTGGCACAGACAAGATGGGCCACAATGACTATTCTCTCCTATGTGCTTCAGGAGAGGCAGCTTCAGGAAGTAGATCATCAATCAACAATAGTGTGCTGACCTACTAGTCCAACCCAGGACCCTGTAGCCACTCTTAGGAAACATTGGTTGGAGAGTGGATAATAAGCCTCACTCTGTATGCATGAGGACAAAGACTTCAGAATATGGAAGGCAACATCCATTTTCATACTCAAAACTCTCTGGACAGAGTAGAGAAAAAGGACCCTAGAAAGTCCATCATCTGGCAAGTGGCAGGTCTCAAGGCAGAGTTTAGTCTTCTGGATTCTTCTGACAGGAGAGGTGAAGGGCTGCTTCACCATCAGAGCCCATGATGCCTGGTCTACCCCACCTGCACCAAATCCAAAGCCTTTCTACCCAGCTAGTGGGGCTGAACATCCTGACCTGGACCTTGGCAAACTGGATGCTCACAATTGGCAGTCACTTCTTAAGAGATGTTTCCATGAGAAAGAGTAGTCTATACCCCCAAACACCCAAACCTGTCAATTCTACCTAAACCACAAATGCTGCACCTCCGAGAACTTCTTGATGGCTTAAATGGCTGATGTTCTGGGGTTGGCATTGTTATCAAGCAGAAATTGTTCATTCATATGAGCAAGGTCTCTCACACTGCACAAATCTAAAGGGAGAAGAGATCAGCTACTCTGTCACCGAATTCTAGCTGTTCCTGCACACAGACACCCAAGCAGGAGGCATAGGACAGGTTTAGTGACAGTTGCATAGGCCCCGTGACAGGTAAGAGGGGCTATACCAGTTTGCATGCTCATCTCAGGCACTGTGAGATCTTATCTGGTAATTGATCTCTCTATTCCTCTTTGTTATCTCTGTTTGAAACAGCATTTTCCTCTAATAGCATAAAATGAAGCGCTGGAAACAGGCGATTTTTATCCAATAATTGATTTTATTAGTGTCTTATGATACTGCTGCTGCAGAACATGCTAGGGGGAATTTAGGTGGGCGTGAGAAACTCACAACCTGTGCTGTGCAATATCAAAGCTTGACAGCTGTCACCCCTGGTGAGAACATCACCCCAGGGTAACCCTGACATCCCATCCTCATGGGAAGGGTCGTAGAGCTGTCTCCCATTGGCTCAGTGCCAACTTAATTATTATGATTCTCAAAAGAAGCTGTAACCCTCACAATGCTCTGAGCTAAAGCAGAGGGAGGAAGACACAATAGTCCCTGTCCAAGAGAGGTCCTGACCTGTGTATTGGCGCATGTGTGCACGTGTGTGCGTGCGCGCGCGCGCGCACACACACACACACACACACACACACACACACACACACACACACACACACCTGTACCACAATACAAGGTGAATTCAACAACATAAGCTCAATGACAAATGACAATGTGTTTTTTTCAGAGGAGTGAAGGAAATGAAGAATAGCTCTTAGAATAAGAGTCAAAGGGTCTTGAAGAATGGGTAGGGAATGTATAGCAAAGAAAACCAGATAAAAAGTGGCCCATCCATGAGTGTAGAGTAGATTAACAGAACCAGTAGTGTCCATGTGCATACAAGAATTTATAAAACCAGGCTTGGTGGCACAGCCCTCTGTGACCTATGAAGCTGGCTGCACTGTGTGGGAGCCCTATAGTCAATCCTTAATACTGAAAAGGGGGAAATGTTTATGGATTATAAAGCATTTGCTTGTGTTCTTATGAGGTTGACAAGATCTGTTGTTGGTCACGTCCCCCAAATGATATTTGACCAAATGCCTGAGCACCATGTGGCCCAATTCTATGGGTATAAAATGAACTATCCAGAGGACATGCATAAAGGAAAACTCTGGAAAACAGCTGAGTCTTAGAAAGTAGGCCATGGGGAAGATGACTCTGGCTACATATGTGGGATGAAACAGAAGCATGAAAATTTCTACAAAATGACCACTTGGGAAATGACCTTGACCAATCCTGATGTCTAAACTGGGGTCTTGCGGCTGGACAGGCAGGTGGAGGACCAGGCACCCATGACAACAGGAGGCTGGGGACACTGGCGCAACCCACCTCTTGGTTCTCATTCCAGGCCATACTCCATTTGCATCAAGCAGAGGCATGGAGCTATGAGGGCAAGAGGCCAGAGGTTTCTTGGCCTGGCTCTCTCCACCCACAGGGCAGCTAAGCATCCCTGGTATCTCTGCCAGGCACTATCTTCGTGGAGAAGGTGCCTTGAAGACTCAGCTAGAATTCTGGCCCCAGAATGTAAGAGCAGCAGCCAGCTGGCAGGATAAATCATCTGAATAGTCAGTAGGAGGCAGCTTTGGAGTGGACTGTTCCTCTCTGGATGTTTAGATGTCACATGTATAGAGTTCATTCATAGTTTGATGCACTGAGACCCCTCAAGGGGGAGAGCCTGTACTGGGAGCTGATTTTTCCCACAGAGACATCTGAATGCATTATAGAATGGTGAACGCGTCTTCAAAATGACAACAGTGACGCTGTATATGTGCACAGGGATTGTCACGGATTCCTTAAGCAATTGATCCCCATGTGTGCAGGCAGGGGTCTACTTAGAGGAGTCTGTAGGTGGCTTGTACAAGCTCATCAGCTTGCAAGGGATGGGTCCACCGACTTAATCCTACTTCCAAAGCTCCCACCTGGACAGATAGAGACAATGGGGGTAAAACACATACCAAGGGCCAAAATGGGTTCAGCAAGGGCCTTGGGGCCTGTGGAAAGCCTTCTGCACTGGCACAGTGCCCTCCATGGTGGCTTACTTTCACGTTAAATGTGCACTGACAGATATTCTATGACATTCCATTCCTTAGAGTGATGCTTGCCACATGCCATTTATACTTTACTTCACCCTTCTTGCTCCACTCTCACCATTCTCCAGGAAGACAGCCCCCCTTAGGAAAAGTACAGTGTAGAGCCAGAGCAGGAAGCTATTGTAAGAGAGGGTTTTCCCCATCTAGGTACTGCTGCAGGCTTAAAGATGCTTCCAATGGTCCCTGTCTCTGGCTTCCCATCCTTGATGGAAGCATAATGACTAGTACCTGGTGCTGCTCATGTCTTACTGGTGGCAACTGTATACAAGGCCATAGATTACTTCCCTTGTCTCCTCTGTCTGTGTGTATTAGGTATGTCTTTTCCTACTTGTGTTACACGAGAAGCGCATCTCAGATTTATCTCTGCAAGCAAGCCAAACTCTACAGCATTCATATATAGACATGTGCTGTCCACTCCACCATTCCTCAGTTCCTATGTGTCTCCACTTTATCCATGGGCAACTTTATGTTCTCTGGTGCAGCTTTTACCCAAGGTTTGCCTTAGATACTAGAAGATATTTGCTTTCCCAAGTAATCACACCATTGCCCAGTGTCCCATCATTGCTGCTTCATTTCAAACATTTCTTTTAGGTTTATTTTATGTGTGTAGATCTTTTGCCTGTGTGTGTGTGTGTGTGTGTGTGTGTGTGTGTGTGTGTGTGTGTGTGTGTGTGTGTGTGTGGAGAAGAGGGCATCAGATCCCCTGGAACTGGAGTTACAGATGGTTGTGAGTCATCGTGTAGGTGCTGGGAATCGAAACTGGGTCCTCTGCAAGAACAGTCAGTGTACTTACTCAGTGAGCCATCTCGCCACCTCCAATTTTCTGGTTCTTGAATGTATTGTCAGATGAGGCTTCACTGAAAAATAGTATCTATCTATCTATCTATCTATCTATCTATCTATCTATCTATCCATCCACCCATCTTTCTCTGTGTCCATCTGTCTGCCTGTCTCCTGTCTGTCTGCCTGTCTGTCTGCCTGCCTGCCTGTCTCTGTCTCACTCTTAGGAGGGAGAGGAGGAGGCAGTGGAACAGACCTGTATTAAGGAAATAACTAATGTACTTACAGCTTGTAACCTAAGGCCAATGGCAGTCTTTGGCAGCTGAATCCCTTCTTTCTGGGAGAGGGAAAGGCCAGTCTTCATCTCCTAAAGCCGTCAGCTGACTGGCTGAAGCCCACCTGCACCTTAGAATAGAATCTGCTTTACTCACAGCCCACCAGTTTCAATGCCACTGTCATTCAAAACCACCTTTGGAGAAACATCCACAATTGTGTTCAAACAAGTCCTCCCACCCTGTGGCTTTCACGGCACCTCTTGTGACAACCTCAGAGGGAAGTACTATGTGGAGAGTGCCTCAAGTGATTTTTAAATCTGTACAGATCTGAAATCCAAAAGGAAATTGTAGCCCTAGTTTTCAAATGAGGAAACTGAGGTATGGCAGGATAAATGATCTGCCTAAGTTTGTAGAAGGTCTATGTTCTCCAAGCTTGACCTAACCCCCCACATTTCAACAGACACTGTTTTCAAGTGAGTTGTAGGGAACTGGAGCCCCACCTGCTCACTCCCAGGCTGTTTCCAGGACCTCAGCTTCTGGCTCTTTAGCACTCCAGCCCCCAGGCCAGTGCTGCTTCCCATCCACTGTGTGCTGCTCCAGCATCACAGCAGGCTTGATGTTTCCAGGAAGCCCTTCTTGACAACCAATAAGCTACCACCACATCAGTTTGATGCATTTCGGGTTCTCTACAAGG